GTGGCTGGCCATCTGACTAATAATATCATTTTTTTAAAAAAAATTTTGGCCTAAATGGTGGTAGTTCCTTTCATCACTCTAGCTACTCGTTTGCTTAAGACCAACATCATCCTGTGTAAATATTTTGTGACTGGAAATCCTTTCTGTCTCTTGCAGATGCTTGGGAACATCTGATGAGTAATCTAACCAATCCTGTATTATTCATTCTTCTTCTTCGTCTTCATTTTGTGAAATTTATTTCTCTTTCTTCTAAAATAATAACTGTTATACTGTTTACTTCTATCATCTGTCTGTGCCTGGACTCTGACTGTTTGTAAAAAAGAAACAACTTGCAGACAAATTAGTAAAATGCAATAACTTGCTTACAGAATATCATAGATCTTCACCATAATCTTTTTCTTTTTCCTTAAATCTTATACTCGTTTGCAATGGACATAACCATTCTTTTTACTACCATATCTGCGTATGAATTCATAGCGCTAAAAGGCAGTTAAGGACTAAACTGAGATCTGCTGTGCCATGGATTGCATGATCCTGTTTGTTTTGGTTGTAAGAGTAGGTTCTGATGATTGGAAAGTTGGAGGCTATTCGAAGAGATTGTAAGCCTTTTGAGCAGTCTTAACATTAAAATACAACATTTTAAGGCATGTAGTTCTTGCATTTCACTCTTGCTGCACACCTGAGAGTATCCATCTCATCTCTTTTTAGGTCTGTCCTAAATAAATTTGTGATTTGTGGGGGGAAAGCATTTTTCTTAAGAGTGAATCATGTGATGCTGTGTTGTATACCAAGTCCATTATTATGTTTTTTTCAGTGAAGGACATAATAACAAACAGCTAAAGAACTTTACCCAAGTTTTGTCTTAAGTAAACCTCTTTAGTTGGATTGTACATGTGTCGCTGAAGAATTGAGTCTGCTATAGAATCAATATTAGTTCCGTACAGTGTGCTTTGATGGAAATCAAGGTGAAAGGTATTCTATTATTTCACACACCTCTATCGTATATGCTAGAGTTATTTATATAGTGGTTTCTATCGTTCTTTTATGACAACTGGTCATAGCAGTTCAGCTACCTAACTCTTATACCCTTACATAAATTAGGAGGCATGAGGTTGATCCATAGTGGAACCAGAACCCTTTTTTCTTTAAGATACTAACTACTAAGGGTTTTATTATTATCGTCTTGCAGGATAAAGGCATATTAGTCATGTACTGCTTTATTTTAAAAATAATTCAAATTTTATTTTTAGTGAGAGAATCAGATTGTTGATTACTGATTACCTAAACATTTTTAACCAAATTTTGTTCAAATAAATCCTCTTTAAGTTTCACTCCAAAAAAAACAAAAAAAACCTCTTAAGTGAGTATAGGTGCCCTTTATGTATGGCCAGAAGTTATATTGCCGAGTCGAAGTATTTGAATCAGTTGTGCAACAGATTATGGGAGGCCTGGAAGTGGCAAGTTTCTTAGCTACATTCTTTTAGCAGCTTTCTTAATTGGAAGTTGAAAATCTTCTTTGCAAGGTCAATTATGTAACGTTGTGGTGGGAAAAAAAAAAAGTTCAAGTTATTAGAGTATCTGATAGCAAATACATAAATTTTAGCCAAATCTTGTTCCAAATAAATCCTTTGAGGGAATAGTATATGTGTTGAAGAAAAATTGACATCCGCTGCAAAAAGAAACATAACTTCTGTACAACAAATGATGAGAGGCCTGACGGTAGCAAGTTTCGTTTACTTTGGCAACATTCCTTTAGCAGCTCTCTTAATTTGCCAGTGGTGGAGGTTTGGGACAGTGGTCTCCTCGTTTTTCCCCCGAGTCATGGGTAGTAGTTGCACAAAGCCTGGCACATGAAAGTCCTTGCAGTTTTTGCTGCTTCCAACCTAGTGGACTTTGCACAACTTTGGACGCTGGATCTGTGAATAAGCTAGATAGCAACACTTCTGATTGTTCTAATGTTGCTTTGAAGTTAGGTTCATTAATCTACCATTCATTGTGATGATGTGTCATTTATTTCACTATACTATAATTAGAAGTTCCATATTCTGATATATTAAAGCAACAATCCTTGTCTTTTATGTAAGCTGGACGCATTATCGAACTTCATTAGCTTGGTTCTTAAAGGCTTCTACCACCGCTTTCATGCTGTGCAGATGCCTTCATCAAGTCATTAAAGTTGGAGTCTTGTTGTGAGAAATGCGAGTAAAATCAACACATTGCGGTTCCCTTTCAGGACTTTTGAAGCAAAAGACTAAAGGATAGCAGCTGTGTTCTACTACTTTAAGATTTCTTTTAATTGATGAGTGATGACATTGATTACTTTAACTTTAGGGATATTTTTTATTAGTTGTATCGATCAATACTTGTAAATCAATCAAACATTATGAAGAGACACGCATGTGTATGGTCAGGCCATTTTCCAATAGGAACTTTCACATACTTGTATGCATTAATATATCATTGGCAAGTAAATTGCAGAGTGACAGGTTATTTGTTAACAAGCCAGAAGTCATCAATTGCTAGCTATTAAATAAGTATTTTCAGTATTAATTTTCAAGTAAATTAAACACACATTTTATCCGCAATATTTATTGATTTTCCTCTCCAATGCTCGAATTCGGTTCTTAATATAAATCAATGGTTTATTGATTTTGGAGATTAAAAAATTAAATAAACACTAATTAAAAATGTTTATATCTATTGTTCTTTTAAAACTAATTTGTTTTATTTATAAACAGGCCCATAATCTAGTGATTGGAATATAAGTATCATAGAGAGATTATATAAATATATTCTACTTCTTCGGTTCTTAATATAAGATTTTATTTAACTAATTTGATTAGATTGAGGAGTTAGGTAGTTATTAGTTGTAAAAAAAATGACAATGTTTTTTTCTTAAAATATCATAATCATTTTTCTTATATTCTTCTTTCCTCACTTACTTGATTATTTGAGGGAGTATCTATAGAATTTAGTAAAAAAAAATTATAAATATGATAAATAATTCTTATATTTAAAATCAAATATTCACTTAACAATTAGGTCGTTTATTAAGAACTGGAAAATAATTAAATAATTTTTTAAATTTTTTTAATCTTTCTAAATTAATGGATTAGATCTTATATTAAGGACAAGCACTACTATTTTTTAATACTTCATATTTGGAAGTTAATACCTCTAGTCCTTAATATAAGACCCAGTTAATTAATTTGAAGAGATTAAAAAAATTACTAAATTACTTTAAAGTATCTATGTTTATTATTTTTCTCCAAACTAATTTTTCTCACTTATAAGTCGGTATATAATCAATATTACACATAAATATTTTAGAAAGATTATAACTACAAGTAATTTAGTAATTTTCTTAATCTATCCAAATTAATTCACTGTGCTTTGTATTAAAAACGGGAGGTACTAACTTCCAAATCTAAAGTACTACCTCCGGTCCTTAATATAAAACCCTGTTTGACTTTTAGTTTGGTCCTAATTATAAGACCCCAATCCACTTCGTTTCTCATATTTACTCAATTTTTTCCAAGATAGTCCTTCTAATAATTATAGTTCTAGTTAATACACTTGATTAGCAAGAATATTTTAGGAAAGACAACACCTATTTAGGACAAATAACTAACTCAATTTACTTCCTTAATCTCCTCAAATTAGTCAACTGGCTCTTATAATTAGGAGCAGAGGTAGTATTTAAAGAATGTAAGTGATACTATCTCCGGTCCTAATTATAAGACCCAGTGACTTGTTTGAGGAGATTAAGGAAATAAGTTAAGTTAGTTATTTGTAATAAATAAGTGTTGTTATTCCAAAAATATCCTTGCTAATTAAGTATATTGGCTAGAACTATCATTATTAGAAGGATTATCTTAGAAAAAAAATGCATAAATATGAGAGACAAATGGATTGGGGTCTTATAATTAGGACCAAACAAAAAGTCAAATGGGGTCTTATAATAAGGACCGGAGGTAGTATTTGGTTATTTCAATACCAAAGTCAACTCCTGATGCAATGGGAAGGAGATATTCGAAAACCACATTAAAAAAAAAAAGAGTGGAATCTTCTCTTGTTTTTGAGATAAAACAAGAATGTCTTCGAAATGGCATGATTCTTATAAAAACTTCATTTCTCACCGCAGCTCTGAACCAATAGCAGAAGATTTCTTCGAATTGAGGTCATCTTCAAGGTGGAATATGATATAACTACTTGGCCACTAAAGTCCTTCGATAATTCAGGCCAAAAAAAGTCCTTTGATAATAGTACACAAAATATTTCCTAAATACAAATATAAAACAAGTTAAAAATTTAATTTGATTTTAAATATAAGATATCAATTTATTTTGTCTCTCATATTTATTCATTTTTTTCAAAATAATCCCTGATTACATATGTTAAAAAGCTTTCATTCTAATACACATAATTAATAAAAATATTTTAAGAAAAATAACACTCAATTATTACAAATAACTAATTTAATTAATTTTTTTAATATTAACAACTTAATTATCTAATTTTATATAAGAATAACTACTAAATTTCAAAATATATGAAATAACTTCTTTACTTTAGCAATTACCAACTAATATGAAATGACAATAAAACCTTCCATAGTAAAAACTCTTAAAATTCAGGTTATAGTTTTTCAAGCGTTAATAAATTAATGACTATAAATTAATGCTTATTTCATCTTGAAAAATAACAAATTTAATTATACAAAATAACCACAATAACTTCATTGGTGGCAACTACTCTATTGAAATTTAGCTTCTAGGCTTTGAAGTACTACTAAATCAGTGATCATTGTACTTCAAGAAATGAGAGCGCTAATTATAAGAGATGACAACAGCTTCGTCAATGACAAACTACTCCCTTAAAATTCAGCTTCCAGGTCTTTAAGTATTAGTAAATTCCATCATAAGTGCAAATACTAGAAATTAAAAACAATTGAGAAGCTAGATACACAGATAGAGATACAAGGAACCAATAAAACTCACTAAATTAATAAACCCATTTTTTGTGAGTCTCAATTGACTCCTCGCAAATGATTGCAAAGAGTGAATGTATATAAGAATATAAACAACATTTTCAATATTTGGTACAGAGCTACATGGATTTAAGTGAGATACACTATAATAATAATAATAATCGGGGAGCAGAAAATTACATTGGACTCTGTCTTCTGATGTGTGGAGCTTAGAGAGAGGTGTACAAGGCAACATCAATAATCATCAGGGAAGCCAAAAGAACAATGACAGGATAATCTCATCCTTCCATATCCCAACTGTATCACAAAATGAATATATGATGGTGTGGGGATGGAAAACTGTCATTGTTCCATATCCCAAATCCACAGTGAACTTCACAAGGTCCCTCCCCAAGAGACAAAAGTATGAGAATTGGCATGTCAAAAAGAATATATTTATATCATGTTGCTCTTAAGGATTCCTGCCGTCTTAGGGGAATCCCTTCACCATTACCAAAGTCATCCTCTTCTGAATGCTTAGGAAGTTTGACGGGCAATGTTGTTGGTGAACCTACACATTATCAATATATGTGATTTATACAAAGATATCCCATTCCTAAGTCATGAATAGCACACTACACTTCGAATTCCATGCAACAGGTGAGACCCACATTTAATTGTATTTAAAGATGTCAGTATGAGAGCAAGAGCACATAAATCAGTCCAATGATGCAAATGAACTAGAGTTGTTTGAACTCGAGTCCTTAATTGATTGTTTTTAGCTCTAATTGTTTATAACAAGAATAAACTTGAGTAAAATATTGAGCTTGTTGGAGTAAATGAGTCGAACTTAATAAATACATGATATTAACAACTCAATTTTCTCTGTTACATGGTTTTACATTCCAACAAATAGATCTTTTTGTCTATTTTTTTTCCTATCAATGTAAATTCATTAATTGATAGAGCTCAATGATATCATATGATGTATGTAGCTGACTTCAGTAAGAAGGATAAGGCTTGCATTTGTTGTTATATCAACATCAACTCATTTGCCACCCAGACATCCCATAACCGATATCGTAAACTTCCCTTTGCCCCGTGCTAACATGTCAATTATCGGAATGCCCAAACGACTTCTTGTTAGTATGGGGGAAATAGAAAAACCTATTTGTTGGGATGCGAAAATTCATAAAACTAAGAGCTATTTGCTAATGACCACCTTTTCAATTAATTTAACTAGTATATGTAGATGCTAGTGTCGGTGAATTGTTTGACTTGGTTTATTTACCAAATGATTGAGAGCTTGATCATAAATTTTAGCTTGATTACAGGTCAAGTTAGACTTGACCTGACTACACCCGTGAACAAGAGGTTGCAAATTAAATCACATCCACATCAACGAGTCTCTTTTTCCTTTGGACAACTTTCTTGATGATTAAAGATAAAGATGAAAGATTACCAAAAAAGAAAACAGAGATAAACATGTAAGATTGACAGAGCATACCATCACCCATATCCTTAGTCTTATGAAGAAGAAAAGTTCCAGAAAGTATGGTCACAAATCCACACATCTCTGTGACAACTTGTGTCGGACTTTGTCTGTCCCAGTCCTGATATCAAATTCGTAAGTTAGATCAAGGATCAGTCATCTAAACTGAAAACCAGTGAACAGACACCGCAAGTCAAACTTGAACATACATTTATACATAAAATTCAAGTAAAAAGCAGATACTACTCATTTCATGGACTAAGTACTAGCATAACACTGAGAAGTGAGAACAAGGTGATTTAAAGTAATAAAATACATCTCATCAAAAAAAAATTTTCCGGGGGGGGGGGGGTTAATAAAATACAAAGAAAAAACAAGTTGCCCTACTCTGTGTCCAAAAGGATTGTGTACTATTGCTTGTTCATGGTACAGAAGGGAAATAGTTTCATACCCTATCCAAAAAAAGGGGGGGGCTTGAATCAACAATAATCTGTGTCTCAATTTTTCCATAGGTTCGTTTTAGTTTATCCATAGAGGACCCACAATTGGCAAGGACAGGCTCAAGATCTGGGTTTTAAGGGCGGGGAATTTGTCAATTACGTGTATTTAATGCCTTCATAAAGTCATAATTTTTGGTTTAAATTATGTATTCGCTGACTCTTAAATTTTGTATTTGACCCCTCTTCCTAAAATTTTTTATCAGTCGCCACTAACGTTTCAAAGTCTCCAACAAACTACCAATTAAAACCATATTTATTTTTTATATTTATCATTAAAAAATTATAAAATATAAAACGAAAAATATAACAGCATATATTAAAGTTTTTTAATAAGATTGTACTCTTTAAAAATAACTAAAATGTACTTCCCACATTCTCACCCTATCATAAAATTTTAGTTTTTTCTTTAATCACTTTTTCTACTTATTATAAAAATAAAAATATAATTTCAAAGTAAATTAAAAAAAAAAAAACCAACTCGGCTAATTTTGTTGTATATATTTAAAATAAAAAAAGTTTACTCAAAAAAATTTTATCCAATTAAAAAACACTAATATAAATGTAATGCCGAATAATACATCATCACCTCACACACACATCAAGACATTAAAATGTATTTTGATATTATTACATTTCTTTGATTTTTTTAATTATAAATTTATTGTTACTAATTACATATTATTGAAATAATATTTCTAATCATTATCACTATTTTTCCCCTGTCTCTCAAATGTGTTTTTCAGTAGGATCAATAGATGACATCATAGATGAATTAAAGATGAACTATAACCATTGACAAGATCCTTCGATAGACAGGTGGCCAATCAAGTTGTCGAGCCCAAAACTAATAAGTGAGCAAAAAATACTTACCTTAAACATTATAACACTAGCCACAATGGTAAATGATGTGAACATAACGTAATATATTGGAGATACTACTGCAGTGTTGAAGGTATCCAATGCCTGAATTCAACAAATGAATTTATCACATGAGAAGTCATACAGGAAGCACCAGCATTCAAAACATAAAAGGAGAGTAAAGACAATAATAAGTAGAAGTCATTGTATTATTTAATTATTTAATTAATAGTATCAATATTAACAGTGGTAACAAGAACAGCATCCAGCACCTACTTCTCTACCAAGAGTTTGAAACACAATAGGTTCTAACTCCCCCTGCCCCACTCTTCTATGCAGTTGGCCAAAACTAATCAACCCACAACGATTTAGGATGCTTTGAAATCCATTTTAACATTCTGAGTCATGGTATCTGGGCGAAAGTATGAAATTTGTTTAAGTGGTTAATCAAATTAAGTCAGAAGAAGGAAGGTTTCCAAACCAAGTGAGAAACGAAAGAGCTATACTTCTTCCATGTCTTCAAACCTACTTGCTCATGTTTTATCAAGTCTTTGCGGTTTCTTTTATCATCTTGAAACAAACGATCAGCCTGTCCATTTTTATTTAAATTTGGTTTCTTGTACACTAGGCAGTAGCACAAATCAGCTCTTTCATTGGTTAAGTTGAGAAAAATAAATTACATAATCAATAAAAGAAGTTCATTCAAAGACCTCGAGGTTACAGAAGAGGAGAAAATTAACTTCTACTGACAGGCTTTTCCTTTAACCAAAACAAACACGAAAAGGATAAACATGTATAATGTGGAAAAAGCATTAAAAAAAAAAAAAGCATGAAGATATGCAAAGTACAAGACAGGGATAACTCTAATGAAAAGTCGAAGAGGAAAGTCGAATTTGTCCATTCATGATACATAAAATGAATGTAGGAATTCTGGAAGCAGCCCAAAAAAAAAAAAAATTACCATGTTTAAATAATTCATCTGGGTAAGAACGCAAACGGTCACAACTAGAGTGAATGCCCATGTTTGGGGAAAAACTAGTTGATTCATCCCAGACAGAGTCAATTTTATGGCGATTCCAAGTGCCTTAACACTCATGACCTGGCAAGGAATAGCTTTAGAATAAACACCAAAAATATGACATAAAAAAAAAAAAAAAGGAAAGAAAAGAATACTAGAAACTTCTTGTCAATCAGAGGAAGAGACATACCGTTATAGAACCTACAAGGGAACAAACACCAATGTAAACCATAATGTGTGTCTGCCCATATAGTGGAACGAAGTGGAAGATGAGAATTAAGACAGCTATTAGAATGATGGTTGCATAAATGAGAAACCCTGCCCAAAAAAAAAAAAAAAAGATTATTATCTCTCATTGTGAAATAATAAATAAGAGATTATTATTTCAGGCAGGAATTCCGTTACCAGGCTCCATAGCAAGCTCCCATACTTCTATGACGGAGTTAATTTGTTGTTCTTGAGGTGCATGGAGGACAATTGTTGTAGAACCCACAACGCACAAAACACAACCAAGAATGCCAAATACATGTAACTTCTCTCTTAAAATAATATGAGCGAGTGCAGCACTGCAATGGAACAGCACAATCAGCATTTACCACCTAGATGTGAGGAATTATATGAAGCTAGTTTTTTTTTTTTTTTCCATGCCTGATAATAATGCTGAGTGCACCAAGTGGGGTCACCAATATAGCTGGAGCAAATGCATAAGCTGCAAAATTAGCGATTTCTCCAACAATCACTGTTGAAATTGCAAATGCCTGTTAGGATACAAATTCCAACTAATATCATTAACTACAGCCAATTAAGATAACTAACTGGTCTGCGAAAATGATAGTATCTTTGAGTTTGTTAAATGTTCTTCAAGGAATTCAAAATATTTCAAAAAGTCTAGTAGCTGCACTGCCATCTCCATCCACTTCTAAGATAATTAGCAAGTAGAAATATCACTTTATTTTTTTTTCAATTATTCCACCATTCCCACCCTTCTCTTAAAGAAGTCTGCCTTCTGATCTTCTTGCAGAGCTTCAGTATGGCATACCCCATAGCCATAGCAAATTTGGCTTCGCTGAGGTTGATAATTATCAGATTCCAAATCAATCATCAAGCAAGAATCAATCTTCTACCTCATTCTTATGAGTTCATATAGGAGCAGCAGCACCATAATATTTGTTAGGGTACAAAAGAATCATTCACACATAAAGCAACCAAACGGATGTTGAGGAAATCTGGGTAGGAATAAGTGATTAGATGGTGTTCGCGCATTAGTGAGTAGTTACTGGTTATCCATGCAAAGTAAATAATATAGGAGTCTGTAACAATGTGATAAGAGTCCTCCCAGCTTTAGTGCTCATTTTTTAATACTGCAACTTTCCTCCCAACATAATTTAGTTCCCAAAAGATCATAAGAATCATATAAACTATCGTTATTAAAACAATAAAATTAAAAAAAAAAAAAATCCAGCACACGATTTATAGCCAATCCGTGACCAAATAGAATCATGTACAAACTCACTCGTTATCATGCCCACCCACCAAAGTGGCTCATATAAGTAAGAATAGCCTCCACTTCCTGTCAAATAAGATTACTTAGAAAGTCAGTCACTATAACCCATAATACGTTGCAAAGACGTTCAACCAATATAACAAAGCATAAGCACGGTATTAACGTAGATGCAAATGATATGATATGCATCCTTACAGAAAGTGAAAAGGCTAGAGACATATACATGCGTTATGCAACTAGTAAAGAGACAAGTTCTAACAGTAACATCTCCCAACCTACATGATTGAAGCATTTGTGTGCTCAAAAACCACAGGCACAAGCACATATGAAACTGAACAAAACAATGCATACACTTTAAACTCCCATCACACGAAATTAAATGGAAATGCAAAGCTTCTGATGTTAGACTAGTTCGGTGCAGATCTCACATCCAATGAACCAAATTTCCAACATGAACTAGATACACCTATATCAGCCGACAAACATAGGGCAAATGAAGGAATTTTAGCACCTAATTTCTGGGTGTGAGATTAATCACACGACCCGTCCATGACCAAATAAGTCAGTTTGAAGCCACATACATAAAGGCATATCAAATCACTAAACTACTAATAATCACAAAAATTCTAATACAACCCACTTGTCCAATAGGAAGATCTCTTCCAAAGAAGAAAATGTTCTTTATCATGTCAATGACACTATCCCTTCCCTATTTCCATCTGATCCACGATCAGACCAAGGAGCAAAAGAAATCTCAAGCAGCCAACCCAATTCACTCGCGACCCACTAGACCTCATCGCATTATTGCTCAAACGCACCCATATGTACTCCAATATCTGCTAAATTGCGGAATGAAGACCCATATGTCTAGAATCAATGAAGATTTGAGAAAACATACCTGCCCTGATTCCACTAGCACCAGCCTTCTTCAACCCCTTCTTCTTGACAATGAAGCTGGCACCGATAAAGAAGCTAGACGACAGCGCGAGGCAAAGGCCCTTAATATTATCAGAGGACATCCCCTCACGCCACCCCGTCATGGCGACGAACCAACCCTAACTTTTGCAGAACGATGCTTGGAATTCCCAGCACCCAACCCAACCCAACCACAGGGGTACTCCAACAAGGTCAATAATACCGAGTAGATCTTCGAAGTAAACAAGGATTAGCAGCTTCAGAAGCCAAAATCTGAAGAAGAAACAAAAAAAATTCTGCCAGTGCAGTTTGGTGGATGATACAGCTGTGATGTGAGAGGTTCCTTAGATTTGGAAATGTATTGCACACCACACTCACAGAGAGGAAAGAGAGAGAAGAAAGGGATAAAAAAAGAAAATAAAATTATAAAAGAGGGTAAGAAAATGGGTTTACTCTCTCTCTCTCTCTCGCAAGGTCGCTCTTGAGTACAGAAAGCTTGATGAATACTGTGCTACAACAAAAACTCCATGATTTTTGACCCCCTCCTTCTTCCTGTCTTCTGCTCCGGATATATATGTGCATATATATAAATATATATATATATATATATCTTTTTCCCGATCCGTATCCTTCTTCTCTCTATATTTTTGTGACACGAAAACAACACGAAATCTCGACCCCACTTTCTCACACTCTCTTTCTTCTCCAAATCTACCTTCTTATAATTATTGTAAATCGCGCCGTCATCCAAAGTAGAAACATTGAAGAAATCAAGAATTTTGCCGTCTTCACTGGATTTAAGCTTCAAAATTGTCGATCAATATCTTTTCCCCACCGAAAACAAAGAACATCTTGCAATATCTTTCACGATTTTTTTAATTTCGTTTCAGAGTTAAATAAAATGCCCAAAAGGAAAAAGGTATAGGCTTGAGACTAGAGAGTGAAAATGCTTTGATAAATCAAATTATTGTAAAAAAATAAAATAAATTTTGTATTTGTGGTTGACTCATCGCGACCGGTTTTGGACAGAACATCTGTGAAGGAAATGTCACGCGTTTGTATTTAAAGAAATGTCACGCAAAATGAAATGACAGGCAAAAGGTAATTAATTATCATGCTTTTGAATTTTTTGGCCAACAAAAATCATGCTTTAGAATTTATTTGGTTCTTACAAGTCATCGGTCTAAATTTGTCGGTTCGTTATGGTACTCCAAGACCAGTCATATCCAGATGAAACCATATGAAAAAATAGGAAAAATTAATTGTTTGTTCCTATACTTTTGCTTCCGTTAAAACTTAGTTCATTAACTTTGATTTAATACAAATTAACCTATAGTTTTAATTCAACTAGAACTAAATCCTTAAATTTTGACTTGGTACAACTCAATTTTTTGTTGACTTTAGGTTGATGCAAGGCCTGTTTGGGAGGACTTAAAAAATCCTCTATAAACACATTTTACGTCACATACTTATTTCGTATTCCGTAAATCATTATTAAAAAGTTACTGATAAGCTATTCCAAACGGTTCTTAGTTTTTATAATTTTAACTAGAGTAAAGGTACAATTTTATTGTTGATTTGTTAAAAGTATAATTTTACCTTTGATTTTTTTTTTTAGAAAATTGCATTAAGAAAGATCAGGAATAAAATTATACATGAGAAATTAGATCAAAAGTAAAATTACACCACTAAAAATTTAGAACTAAAAATACATCTGAAAAATAATATCACAGTTAAAATTACATATTTACCCTTTATTCAGACCTTTAGTTTCACCCAAGTTTCCCCTGGACCCGGGTAGATTACCCAGATTCAAGTCTATAAGCAATGACAATTGCCTTGATATGAACACTCCTTCTCACTGCAGAACGTGTGGTTTCTCTTAACCAAGCCATCCTTTTAAAACATGCAAATCATATGTTAAAATCACAAGATAACAAGCCCCCTTCAACACGGATATAATTACTTGGGATGTGTTTGCATCATCGTTTTGTCTTCAAGACGTGCCTTGGGATGTGCAAAATGGGAGTTACGGGCGTGATATGAAAGTGTGTTTTGGGTCAAACCTTATTTTCATTTGGCTTCTTGAAAAAAAAAAAAAAAAAAAAACTCATGGCAGTAGAAGCCAATTTTTTTAGTTGCCAGCTTGCATCACTTTCTCCCTACTTTTTTCTTCTTTCCTTTTCTGCCCTCACAATTTTTGTCCTCATTCTCATATTTTAATATTTGCTTTTTTTTATTTATTTCATGTACAATCACACTGTTTATTTTATTATGTTATTTATTTTATATATTTTTAGTAAAATAATTATTAATGTTTACTAATAAAAATATTTTCTCTTAAGTGCAAACAATTAATTAAGGTTTTTTAGTATTTAAATTTTTTCTAATAATACATTAGTTCTTTTTATTTTTGTAATTTAAATTTTAATATTTAAAAAAATCATATTATATAATATATATTATAAAACTCATATCCTTTTCAATCAATTTTATATCTAAATTTATTTTTCTATCAATAATCTAAACAAGTTTTGACTTCTCAAGTTGATTTTTTCATAAAAAATAATCCAAACATAAATTATATTACACTAATTGATTTTTTTCCTTAACTTATATTTGTAAAAATCAGTTAAAATAAAATTCAATTTTGTCATCGTTAATTCAAACACATCCTTACATTTGGCCACAACCCTCAAACCAAGGAAGAGCATTTACTTCATTAATCTTGTTTTAAATTAAAAAAAAATTCTAACTTTACTCCTATTCAAATATATCTTACCTTCTGCTTTTTTTTTTTATGTCCAATGTATGTCACTAATAAATAGGGGTAAAATTAAAAGATTATAATTAATAACTCTTCAGGTTACTTATATGTTGCATGCTAAAATTGAGCCCATGGAAACAGAACTGGAATTAACTTTCCTATTTTGAGCATGTTTGGCGTGATGGAATTTGAGGGGGGAAAAAAAGTGTCCATTTACGCATCCACTAAAACTAGCCTAAAGATTTCAAATTCCATACACTCATTTTCCATTTTTACCCCTCAGCCTTTGTCCTTTCAATTTTCATGCCGCCACCTCCATGTGCCTTTCATGGCCTTGTCAGCCTTCAAATCACCTTCAGGCTTCTTCAAGGTTATGGGCAAGAGGGCAGAGCAAATAAGAGGCAGTGACCCTCTGGATCAAATCCGAGAAATTGGACGTCACCTTCCTTATCATTAAAATGGAGGGTAGCAGGGGAAAAAAATTTAGTAAGCTTCATTTAAAAAATTAGAAAAAAGATTTTAAAATTTTAATAATGAGAAAATATAAGATAAAAGAATAATAAAAATTAATTAAAAGTATTTAATCCTACTTTTTCAATTTTTTAAATTAAACTCATTAAAAATTTTTCCCCCTCATTTAAAAACAGACAAAGGCCCAAAAATAAAACTGAGCCTCATTAAATGGAACGTTAGGTTGTTGACCAAAATCAATCAAATTTTCACCATGCATGTTTAAACTTTGTCACTTAATCACAAGGGAAAAAAAAAACCAACTGATTGTTTTTGGTTCCAAATTTAAAAAACAGCTGTATGATTCAAAAGAAGAATTGGCTGAGATAATTTTAACCTTTCAAGTATTTAAATTTTATTTTTCATATAGATATTTAATTGGATCAGATTTGACTAATGTCGGGCCGTTTTCCTCATTTGCAATTACGTACATGCAAATTCAACACTCCGTATTTTCTTTTTGTCACTTGAGTGGCTAATAGTCTCTTCCCATCTTCTACTAGAATTGACGTTTGATGGTTTTAAATTTTATCTTTAAGGTAATGTTTACACATTAAACAAATAAGGGTGCCCATTGTAATTAATAAATATTTTTCCTTTGCAAAATAAATATTGGTTAATACTCCTCTGGTTCTTAATATAAGACCCATTTAACTAATTTGATTAGATTAAGAAAGTTAGGTAAGTTAGTTAATTATAAGAAAGTAACACATTTGTTCTAAAACACTGTAATCATCTTTTTTAATACTACCTCTTCCTCTTTTATTTGATTATGGTTGAGAGAGTATCCATGGAGGTAATTTAGAGAAAATTGATAAATATGATAAATGGATCTTATATTTAAGATCAAAACCAACTCAAAAATTATGTCATATATTAAAGACCGGAGGAGTTTTTTTTTTTTTTTTAAACCAGCAATATGGGTTAAATGATACAAAGGTTTATTCGGATTTAAATTTCATTTTCCCGAGTTGAGTCAGAACTCATATTAAATAGGAAAATTTTGTTATCCTGAAACCAAATTGTGAATTAAAAAAAATTGAAATTTGACAATTACATTTAGGGAAAATTTCACTGTAGGACCGCAGAAGACAATTAATCTCAAAGAGCCCCCAAAACTTTCTGAAATCTCACTGCAGGACCAAGGGGCCAATCTGATATTAATTCCACAAATGAAATGACGCCACTGCCCCTAGTAGAAGGGAACAAGTGCGGGAGAGTGCATTTGCAATGAAAACTAGCCAATTTGCAGAATAAATACATATGTTCACACGTGGAATCAGTCCGTTCACATGTGGACTGGTTCACCTGATGCATGCGTTCGTGAGGGAACAAGTGTGGGAGACGCATTTGCAAGGGGAACTAGCCAATTTGCAGATGAAATACATATATTCACACGTGAAATCAGTCCGTTCAAATGTGGACTGGTTCACCTGATGCATGCGTCCGTGAAGGAACAAGTGCGGAAGAGCGCATTTGCAAGGGGAATTAGCCAATTTGCAGAATAAATACATATATTCACATGTGGAATCAGTCCGTTCACATGTGGACTGGTTCACCTGATGCATGCGTCCATAAGGGAAAAAGTGCGGGAAAGCGCATTTGCAAGGGGAACTAGCCAATTTGCAGAATAAATACATATATTCACACGTGGAATCAGTCCGTTCACATGTGGACTGGTTCACCTGATGCTAAGGGTAGTGGCGTCATTTCGTTTGTGGAATTAATATCAGATTGGCCCCTTGGTCCTGCAGTGAGATTTCAGAAAGTTTTGGGGGCTCTTTGAGATTAATTGTCTTGTGCGGTCCTACAGTGAAATTTGCCCTTACATTTACCCCTATATGCAATAAATGCTACCTGAAAATTTGGTCCAACATGCCCAGCTAAGCCAATCAAACAGCCAAATCTCTCATATGCGAATTGAGTATTCATGGGGGAGCAACCCACATGCTTCAGCCTCATTATATTTGGATCTAGGTCAAATAATTTAATTCAACATACAATTATTAATTAGAGTTTTGGACGAGTTTGAAAAAATAAATAAATACTCCTCCGCTTCTTAATATAGGACCTAATTGTTGAGTTGGTTTTGGTCATAAATATAAGACCCATTTTTTATATTTATCAGTTTTCTCTAAATTACCCCTATAGATACTTCCTCAACCATAATCAAGTAAAAAAAGGAAGAGGAGGAATTAAGAAAGATGATTATTGGTATTTTAGGAAAAACGTGTCGTATTTCTTATAATTAACTAACTTACCTAACTTCCTTAATCTAATCAAATTAGTTAAATGGGTCTTATATTAAAGACCGGAAGAGTATAATAATCAAATAATCAATATAGCCTATGTAAGCGGTAGGAAGCCTTGTCAAGGAGGTAGTAGAAGTAACACCGTTTTTTCTGTTTTGGGCTAAGATTTCACTGCAAATAATTAATTTAACCTTTCATGAGACCGAACTCATTTCGCATATTTATCTTATACAACATAAAATCATTTAAATTAAGCT